GGATTCCAGGAGCCAGAAGAAAATTTCCAACAAACCAGAGTGGTAACACGGGCCTAAGAAGGAATCTTCCCTCTGCAACAGCCATGTCATGCTTCTCTCTGGCTTTTCCCAGGAATTGGACTTCCCTTCTTTCCTGGCATCCCCACCTTCGCATTCCTGTGCATTTACATGGCACTGATGTCTTGTTTGGGAAGGTTTGCCACCACCTTGTCTCTTGGCTGTGGTCCTATTTCAGCTCCCGGCATAGCCACTGCTCTCCGCCTCCCTGTGTCCATGCAAACCTGCTCCATTGCCTATAGGCCTGGGTTTCTGAGTTCTTTCCTGCTTAATGACCCCTCCCCTTTCGTTCTCCCCTTGCAGTTCCTCTGTCTGGGGCTGAGACAGTGGCTGGGACCTGTGCTCCTTACACATTCACTCTACTTAAATCCTGTCTCCAGGTTGCCACAGCATGCTGGCCTCTGGGCCTCTCACCATCGCTGATCTTCTAGAATGCCTCCTGATCTCTATTTCTGGATTCCTGAGTGACTGCTCATCTGCCTTGACCTTCGTCCAGTCTCGTCTCTCTGAACTTGCCCTTCATTTCTCCTTGCCCACAGTCCATCACAGCGCTGTTTCCTCTTGTGGCTCTGGGCCCTCCTGCTCGTCCCTGTCCTGCTGCTGCCTGCTCCCAATATGACAAGTGTGATTATCAAAAGGCCTGTTTTCTAGAGATTTTATAAGACAACCTGCAATTTCCTATCCTTCGATGGGAGAAAGGCCAGTGGTTCAGGAGCTAGACAGAAAAATGTGAATTGTTCAGGGGGACGTGCTTAATCCTCTCTGATCCGGCTGGGTATGACATCATTAAGAAGAAAAGTAAATAATACTGGAGGAGACATCAAAATACAATTTAAACTACATGTGAAAAATGAATGTTTTGTACTTAACCAGCCCTTTGCTCTTTGAGTTAGTTTCTTATTGCTGATATAACAATTAAACAAACTTAGTGGCTTAAAAACAACACAGATGTATTACCTTCCAGTTGTGGAGGTCAGAAGTCAGAGCTGGGTTCTACTGGGCTGAAAGCAAAGTGTCGGCTGGGCTGTGTTCCTTCCCGCCCCTTCCCTAGCTCCTGGAAGCTGCCCGAATCCCTTGGCTCCTGGCTCTGTCCTATGTCTGCAAGCCCTCAATCCTGTCTCTCTGACCTGTGTCTGTCACCACGTCTTCTTTGTCTCTGTCCCCTCTGACTCCCTCTTTCACTCACAAGGTCCCTGGTGATTGTACTGGGCCCACCTGGGTAACTTCGAGGTCTTTAATCCCAGTCCCTTCTGCCATGGGGGGTGACATATTCACTGGTTCCAGGGATTTGGATGTGGACATCTTTGGGGGGGCGTATTCCTGCTTACCCCACTTTGTGCGGCTATTTCATGTTCATTTGGAGAGCTCCACTAATGCCAGAATATGCCTCAGGTGCTGAGTGGTCCACACGCCTTCTCATTTATTCGTCATAATAACTCTGTCAGGTAGACACCGGGATCCAACCCGTTGCATATGTGAGGAAACAGAAGCTCAGCGAAATACATTGCCCGCCCAAGTTTGCACAAATTGAACATTTGATTGTGTGTTTGACGATCAGTTCCTGTCCTGTCTTTCCCTAGCTCCCTCCCTGTCCTCTTATGTGTATCTAAATAACTGTAGTCTCCCGAGACTCCCTGTGACTCCTGGGGGCCAGCGTATCAGGAGGGGATGCCTTAGATTTGGAAACAATTGCAGACGAGGAGTTGTATACCAGACTAGAGGCCCAGCGCGTGAAATCTCGCGATACCCAGACCCGGCTCTCCGAGGGACCCAGCGTCAAGCCCCGCCGGTGCTGTGGGACCCATCAGTGCACCTCCTGGTGACTGGTCTTTGGTCGTTAAGGTGTTACAACCACTGGGTTTTTATTATATAGATTGGTTTATGTATTTATTTTGGCACATTACTTTTTTATCTGGGTTTTTTCATACTTATCCTCACTAGTCCATATTCTTATGAACATATACCTCAGTTATTATGGTTTTCATAAATTTTATCAAGTGGATGGCCATTTCAGGCTGAAGACTTGGGTCTTATTTTAGTGCAGGACAGTGACCCGATATTTCTTGGGATGCGATTTGTGCTCCTTTCACTCGGCTGGCTCTCTTTCTTAGGACACCCGTTACTCGTGTGGTGGTTAGTTGTCTGGTCTCCGCTTTCTTCATCAGTCCGTCTCTCCAGTTCCTTTCATCTCTGCTTGTTGGCTTCTGGGTTCTGTTTTTCAAGCCTGGTCACAGGTCGCTGGTTTTCTGCGGCGTTGGTCCTGTGACCCATCCACTTCAAATGCCCTTTGAATTCTGCAGTCGGCATTGTTTGTTTCCTGTAATTCTTCCCTTAGCTTCTCAAGGTTTATTTTCTTTTTTGGTACATTTCCTTTGCCACTCACCTCTCAGCTCCTGTTTCTTAGAGCCCATGTGTCAATATCACTCTTGTTTTCTCCTTTTTTATCCTCTGAATTTCTTAGCTGTTCAAAGCCTGGGACGGAAAAGCCTGAGGAAAAGTCGGGTGTCTCCTGAGCTGTCTGGTTGGGACATTTCTGCTTATTTGCCTTCCACCTTCTACACAGCACTCCACCCTCCATGCCTTGTCATTGTCCTTCTTTTTTTTTTTTTGGCCCTCAGCTAAGGAATTGATAGCAAAATCGGTGGATCCTGGCCACACCCACACACCCGTTGCTCACACTGTCCCACATTTGGGAATGAGGGGCTCCAGGGGGTGAGTGAGGAGAAGTAGTGACCCCCACATTAGAGCCACACAGGTGGTGTTTCAGGACGGGCTCTGAAGCCGATGCCCTGCATTCAGATCCCGGCTGGGCCGCTTCCCAGCTGTGCAAACTTGGGCCTGCAGTGTCACTCCTCGAGCTTCGGCTTCCTCATGTATACAGACGATGTGCGCCCACCTCAAGGGCTTTGGTGAGGCATTAATGGGAAGGCATGTAAAACAGCCCATAATAGTGCATAGTCACCATTAGCTTAAAAAAGAAAGAAAACAGTGTGCATGCTGTTGAGTAAGTCAGGTTAAACGACCTCCACCCATCACTCACGCCTTTGTATCCGCCACGGTGGCCCTGCAGAGCCTTGCCCAACAGCGGGGGGGGGGGGGGGGGGGGGGGGGGGGAATGGGCTCTTTGGCGTCTCCATCTCTTCTCAGCCCTCCTCTACGTTTGGCCAACTCTTCCTCAAATCAGGGCACATCCCTGCAGTTTTCCAGAATTTCCTCCACTTCCTCTGCACTATTTTGGGAAGGGAGATGTGGTTGGAGCCTGGGCGCTTCCCCATTGTCTGATTCTACTAGTGCCCCGAGGCAGGTGGCTGGCAGGTTCAGCCCCAATGAGCTTCCTTCCCCTCCCATTTCCTTGTGTTGTTGTTTTTTTAATTGTCTTGTTGTTCAGTTTCTGGTATGGGAGGGGCTTGTGACTACCTCATATACTGCCATGGCTTTTTAAAAATACCAGTTCTTTTATTATTTTCAAGTATAAAAACAATACATGTTTGAGGCATAAAGTCCAGAGAATGCCAAAAAGTAAGTCACTATCACCTGCAATCAACCTGTCTAGTCTGGAGCGAGTCCTTGGCTTCCCGCTCATTGCCCTCCCCTGTGGTCCCATCTCAATCACCTGGCCCCACCCATTGCAAGGTGGCTCTACCCTCTCTGGTGTCCCAGTCCTGACACCTCACCGAGGGGGCAGTGGAAGACGACAGGGATGAAAGTGGGTCATGCATGTGGTGGAATTGTTTTCTTTGAGCAGGAAATGAAGAAGACTTGGGGACATGGGCAAACTAATAAATCACAAGGCTTTCCTAAATCCAACCAGACAATTAAAACACTCAATTTTACTTTTGGGAAAAATATTTAAATGAAGGCAGGTTGTGAGGAGAAGGCCTGTGTGAAAAGAATGCTCGGCTTGAAGTTGGAAACCCTGGATTAGGGACTTATTTGCTCCACATATTTATTTAACCTCGTCACCATGCGAGTTCTGAGAGCAGCAATAATAGACACTCAAGTCTGTGAGGATTAAAAAGGAGATTCAGGGTGCTTAGTAAATACTCAAATGGCATCTTCATGCCTGTGTTTTACCTGTGTGTGTTTTACCAGTTTTTATAACCTGCTGCTGTAAAAGGATCTCATTCAAACTCAGAATGTCACGCCTACGATTCAGAAGGGTAAAGGCAAAAAACGCTTGTGCAGTCACCTTGATTCTGTCTTGTCGAGAGCTTCCCTGGCACGGTGCTGGAGATGAAAAGAGCAAAGTCCCGTTCTCCGGGAGCTCCCAGGACACAGTGGGAAGTTTGTGCCACACACAGAGAGTGACCAGCTCCAAAAGGTGGTGTGACAGTTGGGGGAACTTACCTGAGAATGCGATGAGCCGAACTGGGTTTTAAGGGAGAGGGAGTATCCCTAGGGACACAGGAGATCCCAGGCAGAGGAAAGAGCACATGCCACGGAGGGGAGGTGCTGAAAAGCCCCCCCGTCCATACTCTACCCTGGGGCCAGGTTGGTCCTTGGTGGGTGGGACTCAGAGCCTGTGTTGGGGTCCAGGACACCAGTGTGGGACTGGGAGCCAGGCTGTTTTTGATTACTTCATGGGGTGGGTTTTTACTAATCTGTGTCTGCCTTTGGAGGAACTGGGTGGATCCTACTTAAGAGGTGAAGGAAAATGGGAGGAAGGTTACGGGGCTAAGTGCCAACCCCCAAATGCAAGCTGAGCAAGGAGCCAGGTGTTTAGAAGCGGCCTGTGCCCTCTCTTATCTGCCCTCTTGAATCAGCTCAGCAACAGTGTTTATTCTTGAATCAGCCAGCCATGGAAACTCCTTATGATGGAAAGCCACGCCTGCCGCCCTCCCCCACAGCCTTCCAGGGCGTGGGATGGGTGGAGCCTCCAGGCTCCAGGTCATCTGGGAGCACTTGATGATATGATTTCTCCTCTCCCTTCCTCTGTCCTGCAGCAATGGAACGGCAGGGACACAGCCCTCATGGTCACCCGGGTGGTCAACCACAGGCGCTTCTCGGCCACGGTCAGTGTGGCGGACACTGCCCAGCGGAGTGTGAGCAAATACCGCTGCGTGATCCGCTCCGACGGTGGCTCTGGCGTGTCCAACTACGCTGAGCTGATCGTGAAAGGTGAGTGCCACCAGCCCTGCCTCTCCCCACCCGGTGGGTGTACGAGGGTTTCTTGGCTAAACCCTTGCAAAGGAGGGATGAAGGGACCTTTGCTCATCCGCTGCTTCTCCTCCTCTCATTCAGGAGCCATAGACACAACGTCCAATCCCACCTCCCCCTCCGAAAAGACAGACACTGTTGTAAAGTCATGCAATATTGCCTTGTTATTCAGAGTTGGGTCTTACTTGTAGGATCTATATGTTAAAGTCTGGGCATATGGAACATAGAAGACATCTCCGCATTCGGCTTCGTGTTGCACTTAAAGTTAGAAGAATCCACGTCCTTGTGTGTTGGTGGCATTTTGTTGAAGCGTTCAGAGAATGCAGTCATTTCTGAGGGATTTTTTAAAATTGAAAACATGACATAATGGCAGTATTTTGGAAGGACTTTTGAAATAAGTAATTCCTTGCCCCACTGGCCTTGATTTCATTCTTTTCAGTTTTCCTGTTCACCTTGAAGTAGCATTGATACACCTCTAGTGCAATATGCTCATTGCTTCCCTTTCTGCTTCTCAAGGAGCTGGATATCCGGCTTATTCTTGGAGGGCTGTGTAATCTTCGTTGTAACGCTTAATGGCTGTATGCTATTTCATCCAGGGGATCACCTAGTATTTTCAAATCTGTTTGTATGCCTTTAGGTAATTCCAGGTGTTTTTGTTTTTGCATCTTTCCTCTGTGTGTGCAATGATGAACTCCTCAACGGTGTTCCTCAGAAGAGAACGTTTTTATTCTATTGAACAGGATTATTCCCTTGGATAAATTCCCTGGGGGTAGAGTTGGTGGGCCAAAGAATATGAGCATTGTTATGGATTTTCTTTGTTTTGCAATATTGCTTCTGCAAGAAACGGTTTGACACGTTACACTGGCAACAGCAGCATATGAATGTACTCATTTCCCAACGTTACGTTCACCGATTAAAATTTTAATATAGCATAATTTAGTGGATGAAATAATGAAGCTGTTCTTCTTGTGTTAGCTCTGGAATGGTACCTGGTGTGTTTGAAGGTAAAAACATGATCACCCCCTCGTCCCCAGAAGGCTCCTGAGTGTGTTTCCTTGGCTGGTATGAAACCCTTGCCCTCTGTTAGCTGGCCCCATGGAACTGGTGGCCTGTCCTGGGCCAGACTGGGGTTTGCAGTCTGGAATTCTCTCTCCTGGGCTGTCCTGACTCTGTGTATTCACATGGCTGACTCCCGGCTTCCTTGGCCCCCCATTCTGGTGATTGCATTCTTACATCACCCTGTCTCTTTTTCTATATAGCAACATCACACTTCAACATTACAATTTTACTTGGTTTCCTAGTAATTTCCTGTCTCATCCTTCAGGATATAAGCTCTGTGAAAGGAGGGGCATTTTGGTTCACAGTAAGCCCACAGAGCTTAGCAGAGAGCCTGGCCCAAGTGCAGAGCACCAGAACCATATCCGTATGAAACCGCGAGTTTGACTGTGTGGACCTGCACAATCCTTCGTTTCAGCAGGCTCACCCTTAAAACATTTGTTGAATGATGGATGAGTGAATGGATTATTGGCCTCAGCAGGAATTCATTTCATCACCATAATGCCATGAACACTTAGGCTGAAGATCAACAAATTAGGCAGTCATGGACAAAACAACCAAGAAGGAAAAAAATCATCTTCAAAATCGTTTATATCGAGTGCCATTACCATATAAAAGAAACCACATTTTGATTGCATTAGGCTCCTATCTTCGGGTTTTTTGGTGCCAATAGATAGATTTGTGTGACAAGTGGCCTTTGCAGGCCTTTCAGGTACTCAATGAATATGTAATTTCCTGAGCTGTCCCCTCTGGAGCTCATTATACCTTTTGTGCGGTGGCCCTCCACACTGGAATGGAAGCCCGTGGGACGGCGGACTGTGTTGTGTCATGCTCCCTGCGCTTTCCACATGCCGGGCACAGCTTTGGCCCTGAGAGAGGGAGTGAATGACGGAGAGAGCGAGTGTAGCATTCTGCACTTTCACATCAGGTGGATGGAACCCAGTTGTGGGGGAGGGGTCTGGAAGGCCAAATGCAGAGAACTTTGGGGCAGGATGTGAGTCCCATGGTGGATCATCGTTGCCTTTATTTGGAGGGGTGGCCAGGGTTGAGGGGACAGTGATCGATCCTCGGCTGGCTGTGCAGCCTGGGCCAGAGTTCTGCCTGCAGGGAGCCGTGCGCTGGCCACGTTTGTGAACAAGATCCAGCAGCCACTGCCACTCTGAACCCCTCACCTGCAGCCCCCTCTGCTGTTTTAAGGGAGGTGCTGGGTGGCCTCCTTCCCAGTCTCCTTCCAATGGCCGATGACAGGTAGGTGCTCCCTGCAACGGGGTCCCTTTTGATTACACCTTGATGGAATCCTTTATGGGATATCACTTTTTCAGTGCGCATTCCCCCCCCCCCCCACCACCCCCCTCCCTCCATGTGTTTTCTTCCTTTTTACATGCAGTTGGTGGGAAGGTAGAAGCTGGACACCTGACCCAGGTGCTGATTGCTATCTGTATGGCCTTGACGCAATCATTTAAGGCTTCCTCTGCAAAGTGGGGACCAGAGCTCTCTCCCCATACACTCGTGTGCTGAGCATATGAAAGGGAGGGAGAAAATACAAAGTGGGCCCAATGTGTGCTTGGGAACATTTGGGTCGTGGAGTCCACACTAGGTCAGACTCCCTGGCCTGCTCCCGTCTCCACCATCGCTAAGGCTAAACCGGAAAACTGGGACAAAGGAAAAGTGGCTGTTCCTGCCTGAGCTCTGCCCCTGACCACGTGGGCCCCACTCCACCTGGCATCATTCATTCAGAACGCGGGGTTGGGAAGTCATTGTGCCAGGGGGTGGCAGGATCTGGCGGCCACTCTGATGGCGTTCACAGCAGGTTCTTGCACTGGGCCAAGCAGTGAGGCCCAGCCTGCGTCTCTGTCGCTTCATGCACAGGCATGGTTCGGGCTGCCTTGCTCACGGCTAACGTGCTATCCTGGGACTGGGAGCATCTGTGCTTCAGAAGACGCCACCTAATTTGAGTGCAGGTGATATCAAATGCTCAGCGCGACGCACAGATCGAAATGAAAGCAAATTGGAATTACTTAATTCTGAAGGGCTGTTTATTGAGTTGTGATAACGTACCTGGGTATATATTAGATTGCTCTGTAATTGAGGTTTCGCTCAATTGACAATTCGGCCCCTTGACCTACCTGTTTCAGACCAGTGTTCACAAATGTGCTGATTCTCTTCTCATTCCTGGGTCTCCAACTCTCTTTGATTTCAAGGCATCTTAAGTTATCCCAAGGATGGAGTTCTCTTCGATCAAAGTGATGCAGACGTGGTCCTGATGAAAATTCCTTAATGTAAAAACAATGTGTCATGGGTAGTGATTTTTAAATCTGGCTCCCCGCTCCATTTAACAACCTTCCATGGGCCCAGAGCCCTGTTATCAGTATGCAGATTAGTGCCCAGAAGAAATCTAATGCTGCTGCTGAGTCAGATGTTCGGATTTAAGTAATGATGCGACTTCCTGCCAGGGCAGCTGGGTGGTTTCAGGCGAAGGGATTTGGATGTCACCACACTTCCAGTCTCAGTCCTGGCCTCAGATCCTGTCTTCTCTCTGGGCCTCAATTTCCTCATCTGTTCAGTGGGGGTGAATAGGTTTAATTGGGTCCTTATGAGGGGAAGGCATTATATGTATAGATCCTGGCACAAAGTGGACACGCATGCAGTTACAGCTGTCACTGTCCATCATCCTATTTTACTGTCATGATAAGGGGTGGTACTCGAGTAGGTTGTTCATGTTTCCTTGTCCTGCTTAAAGGAATGATAAGCTGTCCTGTAGAGATTTAAATTTAGTTATCTTCTCCTCCTCTGAAGTGGGGTTAATGTCATCAAATGCAGCATATTGGTCAAAATCAGTTTCAGAAATGCTTCATTTATGTTGCACTGTCTTGTTTTTAATTAAAAAAATTAAAAATATTAAAAAATATAGTTCCAATATTTAAATCCCTCTTGAAATAGTATCAGGTTTGGCCACTTTGAGCCTGCACCGGTGGGTAAGTGTGGCCGCTCCATTCTGGGGCGTGTGTTTCATACTTGCTCACTGCCCACTCTTGGCCTGTTTTGCTCACATAACTAGTCTAATTGCTTTAGGCATTTGAGTTTCCAGCCTCTGGTTTAGAGATTTCATGGCTGTAGTAGCTGACTTGTCCTTGTGTTCATTTGTGTAATAGTTTATTGAGCCCAGCTATGTGTCAGGTAGTGTGATAAGCTCATCGTGTACTGGAAAGAGTGATACAAATCTATAATGCATGGCCATCTGGTTTGTGTCTGGCACCTGCTACACCCTCTTACTAATCCCATCAACCACTCTTTGATATACGTGCTGTTAGTATCTCCCTTGTACAAATGAAAGAATGGTGATTCAGAGTGGTTAGGTAACTTTCCCAACATCACACAGCTTGTATGTGGCAGAGTTAGGATTTAAACCTAGACTTGCTTGTGCCTCAGGTCATGCTCTTTCTTATACCACATTTATTACAAAATCCAACATGGGAGGCCCTGTAATCAGGTGTGAGCTGAGGAAAAACAGAGGGTGGAACAGCTGATGCAGTTGGGGCGTGTCGGAAGGCTTCTAAGAGTGGTCCCATCCACGCTGGACAGCCTGGGTCATAGTTGTGAGGCGTGAGTGGGTGGATGTTCGAGGCTGGGAATGTAGGCAGGGGCATTTGAAGAGCAGAGTTGGAGCTTTATTCTGTGGAAGTCAGAGGGCTCGGATGGAGCCCTCCATGCATGGTCCACGACAGTGGTGCACACACTGTCTTGAGGCTGGACCTCTGCATCCATCTCTTCTCTTCCTGGTCCTTCCTGTGCCCAGTGGAAAGTCACTGTCAGGCAGTGGCTGTGGTGAAAGGCGTTGCCTGTGTTTGGAAGAGGAGTGAAGGTCAGAGGCATACAGGATTGGGACCTCCAGAAGCCGATTTGGC